AAGGAATCTGAAGATGGAAATCGAAATGCAAAACCAAGAGTATTCTGTATTCCCGTTCCCGTGAGTAAGAAATTGGACGGCTTGGAGAAGAGCGGCTAGATTGCGCATCCATGAAGAAAATCTTCGCGATTTATAATAAAAGTTATGTTCCAGAAATAAGAGGCTCATGAAATTTTATCTTGAAAATTCGGAAGCCTCTGATGAATATTGTATCAACGCTCAGAAATTTCAAGCCTCAGAATGTGGCATTAGCAGGCTTTAAGGGCCACACAGTCGGCTGAACTTTAAGTATTTGCATTAGATAAACATGGTGTAGTGGCAGGAGGCGCTGGTGTTGATATTGTCTGCAGTCCATGATTGAATTCTACGCGGCACACCTCTGTCCTGCTGGGTCACTTGATGGCTAACGTACTTGTCTGCGATGATACACATACTGACCAACTTTTTGTCCAGGCATCCAAATGATTTCGGTGTTCTAAATGGATGTAGAGTCTGCGGCTCATCCCAAAGTTGGGCTCGACGACCGCTACATAGAGCACGAAATGAGTTTTTTAGAAACAAGGCTTCAAAAACCATTCAAATACTTCTACTGGACCCTTTCAATCAGTGCCCGCTAAAATATATCTTATGAAGTATCTCCTTCAACTAGCTCCTCTGATTGAATGATGGCCGGGATGGATCCGTGAGTGTGGCCTGTCTCAGAAGCCCGGAAAGTGAAGCAATAACCTTTCATCTACTTCACAACTTCGTACTGGAACTCGTGTACTTGTGATACTGGTACTGTACTGTGTGTACTTGTACTAACACTGCAGAAACTTTAGAGTAAAATAAGTTTTTATAGAGAATCGTTCTGTTCCATGCATATACACGGATTCTAATGTACAGAAATCATCATTGTACGACGTTTCTTCTGATCCGCGATGATTGATCGCATCGTTTCACAGCGATAATCGACAATCGCATCCGAGTTGCAGCAGATTACCGCTGATAACTGTGACAGACGTGATGACGCCTAAAATCAGCTTGGTAAACCAGTCGCGGATACGGCGCACAGTTTATGAGACGTTCGGAGTTTCATTGCCTTTTTGCTGTTTGCAAAAAGCGCCCTCAAGCAGCAAATTAAGTCATTGTCTAAGTGATTCACTGAACATGACATAACTCCCGAATTATACACAAAGGCTTGCAAACTCCTCTGGGAGAAGGTGCAATAAGGGAGATAGGATGGGTCTGTAAAAGGTGTTAGCGCAAGTGCGATGGTCTTGCGCGTCCACATGGTCAACCTTGAAGATGTCTCTTCGATTACCAGGTACTCGTTGACTATGCTAAACGAATGGGCAGAAGTGATAAATGAAGGCCTCATATCATTTTTCTTCTAACAAAGAAGCATTGTTTCTTTAGCAGCTGACCGGCGTTTCGTCGTGGCTCGATCGTTTATCAAAGCTGGCCGCGTGCCTATCACATTCATCAAACCAGTCAGTCATACATCATTTCCGTATACACTTAATCTTAACGCTTTGCAGGTTCCTTTTCATTTTTTTTCGAAACGGCGAATTAATTGTTGACATGACGCAATTTGCATTGAGAAATTCTGTAGAAAAAAAGTCGTCTGTAAAGGTTAAGTCTAATCGTGAGACCGCGATCCGAAACCAAACGAGAAGTATGGCTGTTTGCACTACAAATATTGCCCTAAGCCTAGATCTGTTCATGACAGTAGTAAGGCAATCTACAGGGACGAATTTTTTCTTAGTGGAAGTTATAGTCAATCAGAGTCCGTATTCAGAGCCTAGCGTTGCGGAACATCGGCATGAGCTGCTGTGATTGGTGGACCACTATTGATAGCCAATCACAAGAGGATGAGGCACGTTCTATTT